ACAGTGCAAATTTGATCTTTTATCACCAAAGGGCAGCTGTCAGTCCAATATTATGACTCCTTTCCCTTTAAGGTTTTGGAAATTTTCTTCAGATAATATGATTGTGCACAAGCTTTTATTGTCATGACGTTTTTGATTAAGAGAGAGAATAGGAAGAACAATGAATTTTGGTTATTGCTTACAGGAAATTGCATATAGAATCATGAAGGTCCCAGCTTGTTTCTTTTTTTTTTTTTCCTTGCCATCCTAGTGGACATGGAAGAGTTAAATATGCTACAAAAGCAGGAGAAGGTGCTCGAGCGCTGCAAGTACTGGCCTGCCTGTAAAAATGGAGACGAATGTGTGTACCATCACCCCACACTACCTTGCAAGTGAGTAGTACAAAGCTCATCCACTTGACATGCTGTTTTGATTTTTATTCTGGTGCTGCAAATTTCTGTTCTGTGTTAGTAAATATTCCAAGGCAGTGGAATATTTACTGTGATCCCACTCCAAGTCTGTCGGGGTGGGATCACAGCTCGATTATCACACTGTAATTGCTTCCGTTTTGCACCCATCTGCCACGTGCCAGAATACAGGGATGGCAGCTGTAACCCTGCAGAAGAAAGCTTTAGTTTGGTGTACAGGCTGGTGTTTCTGTGTTGCTTCGAGATGCAGGAATTAGTGTGGTAAAACAGCAGGCTCTGCCAGCTGTCACAGTGCTTGTGAATGTTGGGTACCGTTACATAGTAATGCTGCATTGGTTTCTTTAAATCTGAAAGCAAAGGTGAACTCATGAATGTGCCCTGTGCCTTTGACTTCCCCTCCACAAGCAGCAACAGTCTAGAAAAACAATGTCTCTTTTGAGATAACTGTTAGCGGGTTGGGTAACTTCATTTACTCAGACATGGGAATTTTCTTTTAAAATCTGGTGTAACTAAATTCAAAATAACACTTTCTCTTCAGGGAATGAACCATGTTACTCAGGAAATTTTGCCACCCTCCCTGGGAAGTCTGATTTCACAGCGCTGCTCTGTGCTGCACACTAAAAATAATGTGTCTTTTAGCTTGTAACAAGTAGCTTGGGATCAGACTCAGTAACTGAGAGTGAAGTAGTTCGGTTGTTTACTGCATGTAAAGTGTCCCCAGGGACACAGTTCAGATCTGTTGTTCCACAACTCGCACACGACACCTGCGTGCCCCTCTTTGGGAGGATTAAACATGTGCCTGAGCCCTGTTGTAGTTCTGCCTTTCTCTGATGTTCTGGCTTTCATTTGCAACAGGTGTTTGGGGGTTTTGCTCCAAATACGAGCTTTTGACTCAATTTGCTTTTTCTCCAGAGTTTTTCCTAACTGCAAATTTGCTGATAAATGCTTGTTCATCCATCCAAACTGTAAATACGATGCAAAGTGCACTAAGCCAGACTGTCCTTACACTCATGCCAGTCGACGAACCCCCCATCCATCTCCCAAACCAGGTGAGCACATCTTGTTTCCTGAGCTTTAAATGAAAATGCTGAAGGAAAAACAGTGTTTTTGGTAATGGAAACTGATATTGGTGAAAAAATAATTTTTTGCTTGTTTTGATCTAATTTTCTTTCACCTCTTAGTGCTAGATGAAGAAGAATAATCCAGTGTTACTGCAAACCTTGTTATCAGAAAAATCCGTCAACACTTTTATGCAAGAGTCCATATGAAGTCTGTGCAAGGCCAGAGTGGTGACTTGCACAAGTTGTCCATTTCTCTGAAGGGATTAGCCAGCACTGCAATTTTACTCAAATTTGTTTCTTAAATTGGACACATACTGTACAAAGGCCTTGTGACAAGCTGAAAACAGAGGCTTCTGTCTTTGAACATTTTTTTCTTTAATGCCAGTGTAGGAGTTAAGTTGGTGTAATGATGAGGTGACTTTCAGGGCTGAGGTTACCCAGTGAAGGCAGTAGCTGTGTTTGGATTATGGGTTGGTATTGCTGAGCCTTTGAACAGTGCCAAGGTGCAGGCCCTTCACCACATGATCTTTTGGAAATAATTTAGCCCACAGTCACAGTACAGTGCAGTTTTGTTACTTTGCCAGAAGGTCAAGTACAATGTGCTTGTCTCCTGTATCATTTCCAGCAGCTCCTCTGTATTCCTGGAAAGTGCAGTGCCTGTGCTTTTCAGTTCAGTCAGCTGAACCTCTAACAGGCTTGCTGCTGTCTAAATTTAACATCTGAGATTCTCTGCCTACCAGAATTTGTTGGAAGTTTTGCCTTGACCATGGTACCTTCTGTCCTGAAATGGGGAAGAACCAAGTTAAGTGATTACCTGACATCTTGTTTTGCTCCAGGGTGAGATCCACTCCTTGCACTGCGATACACTGTCGGTATTTCTTGCAGAACTTTGGTGTATTACAGAACATAATGTTTCACAGAAATATTGATATATTTAAGGTTGTGTGGAGCTGTCTTAAAAAGGCAATTTATCCTGATCCAGGCTCACTTCCTGTTCTTTTTGTTTCTACTATTAGCACCCCTGCCCACACTGCCCATATCCTCCAGTAGTCTGCTGTGCAAGTTTTTTCCTGCTTGTAAGAAAATGGAATGTCCATTTTACCACCCAAAAGTAAGACTTATGTTCTGTTTCTTCCCTTTCTTTCTAGAAAAAAACTTCAAATGTGCTACTTTGGGACAAGATATGTCAGTAGGATTTCACACTTTTTGCTTTTACTTTTCACATTTTAACTTACCTCAGAAGCAGAGTATGCAAAAGCAATGACTTAAACAATTTGGAAAATTATATTTTAAAGTAATCTTTCTAACAGATGCTGCTGGGGAGCTTCAAACAGGCCATAGCTTTTGTCAAAATATGCCCAGCCAGGATGCTGGGGGCTGAGGAGGGGGACATCCTGTAGCCTGTCTGGAAGGTCAAGACTCTTGACTTCCTTCAAATGTGCTGCAATATACAACAACTTCAAAGATTGCCCAGTATCCTGAAGTGTATCAGTGTAATTGATGTAGTACAAGAGTCTGGTACTCTGGTACTTTTACAGAATTGTGTCCCTGCATTTTCTGACACCCAGAAGTTTAGTGCTTTCTCAAGCCCAAGCAATGCTGAAATGCCTGGGGTCCCCAGGACTCTGTGCCCAGGTATTATCAGCCAGATCCTCTGGCTTTTCCTGCTCCTCGGATAGTGCTGTGTCATGCTCCCAACTTGTACACACAGATCAATTCAAACTGAACTCTGTAAACCCTTGAAAGCAAAGGAACCTCCGCCTGTCACTGCGTTGGCAGTTTTGGAGCATCGAGTTCATAACTGATACTTTTTAGAACGGATTTTCTCCTCCTTGTGCTGAGCTGATTGCACTGGTGGATGTAGCCATGGGTTCAGGTACTGGTCAGATGTGTCACACAGCGACACAAACTCACGTAGCCAGTGTAGCTCAGCTGGTTTGGGAGTTCAGGCAGCCAGCATCGAGTAGCCCCTTCTGAAACGCTTTCCTTTTTAGCATTGTAGGTTTAATACCCAGTGTACAAGACCAGACTGCACTTTCTACCATCCCACTGTTGCTGTACCTCCACGGCATGCCTTGAAATGGACTCGAACTCAAGCCAGGTGAGAGACACTCTAAACCTAGTACGGAAAAATATTTGATGTCTCTACTGTAGTTTTACTCACAGAAGTAATGAACTGTGTGAATAACAGGCATCTTTCTTTAAAGGACAACTCTGTTCTGTTTGGCTTTAGTAATACAAACATTAACTAATGTATTGCAGTCCTGATAAACAAGTGCCCTGCAGCTAAGATAGGGCAGAGTCACTGGAATCCTGACCTGGATATGTTTTGTTTCCTGAGTTTTATTTGAATAAAGCTGAAAATCCAACATCAGCTCTTCGTTTACCATTGTTTTATCTTGTGTCCGAGCTGTCTTTTCTTTGAGTGTTTCTGGCAGAGCAGCTCATTCCTGTCACTTGTCCATGTTTTGATAAACCAGTAGCAAACTTCCTAAAGCTGCAGCTATGGGCCTGTCTTTAAGATCATCAGATCACACGAGCCTTTCACTCCAACTGCTCTTGTCTGCACAGGTTTCAACCACTACAGGAGTAGGGCACAGATAGTTCTCAAATCATCTTTACAGGGTGGTAGAATTGTTACTTATGGGAATCATTTTTCTCTTCCCCCTCAGTGAATGAATATGATACAGCCTGGGACTGAGCTTTGCCTCCTCTGGACAGTAGTGGAAAGGAAAATTAACCACCAGGGTACAGGATGCTAGAAAAGATTCATGAATTTTGGACTTTGAATATACATTGTTTTCATAAAACAAGGTTGATTGCATACTTGAAATGTCTCTAATTTTCCAAGTTTGTAAGTTTGAGCAATTTTACATTTTTTTTACACTGTAACAAGAAAACGTCTGTGTAAGAAAAGTTTTACTTTAAATTCCATTAAAAACCTTCAAAGCACATTTTGTGTTCTGTTTGGGTAATGTTCCTTGTTTAAGATAGGGTGTGTTGAAGAAGCAAGTGTGTCAGCAGAAGGGTTTAGAAAGCTTGTTCCTGAATTGGGATCATAGCAGAAGTACTTTTTGTTCAGCAGGTGTCTGGTACAAAGCACACAACTGCTCTGCTGTTCCAGCCCCAGCACTGAACTCCCCACCTCAGCACAGGGAAAAAGAGCAAATGCTTTGTCTTTTCGGTGTTTTTCAGCACAACAGACATCATACCCCTTCCACTCTCTAAAAGAGGGAGAAAACTAAGACAAGGGAAACAAACCGCTTCATAAACCAGAACGATGAGAGATTATTGCTACTGTGCTCCAAGTGAAATACCACTTCACTTGAAAATAAATGCTCTTAGATGTCTCCATTTATACCAGGAAGAAAGAAGACACCATTTTGAATCTCTTTTTGAAGAATCCTTTTTTCCTACTGGGCACATTCTGTAATTTTCTCCTTCAAGAAAGTTACTGTGCCTTATGGCAAAAAAATAATCCACACACATGCCCATATATGTTTAAGTGGTATTAAAATAATGAAAAGTGCTGAGCAGTAACATAAATGCACTTTTTTATTAAATCCTTTTTATCTTTTGGGGAACTACATTTGCACAAAAATATACAAAAGAATTTCTTTTTACAAATATTTACATTCAGTATCAGAAAACAATGTTAGCTACATATTTTAAACTTAAATTTGACAAATATATTCTTGAATTCTGAAACTTAACACTCCAGGAAAGTATTTTTTAATTTTTTTTTTTAAATAAAGTACTCAAAGTTCATATTCAAATTTAAAAAAATTAATGCAAAAATCTGACATTTAATTTATGTATATGTGTGTATATATATATATATATATATACTTTAAATAAACATACAACATTGTTACAGGAATTAGATGTTCATGGTGGAAACCAAAATGGAGTACAGTTAAACCCATGATCCTTATCACAGTAATACACGACCAGACCTTTGGACTAGTTTAAAATACTTTTTTTTTTTCCTTTTTTTTTTTTTTTACTTTTTTTTTTTTTTTTTTTGTTAAAGCAAGAGGGATTATCTGACACACTCCATAATGAAACAACAAATCTGAACAGACAACTGGATTTTAAGCTTAAAGATCTACAGTAAAATACTTTCCTAAGGTGACCTGACCGGGGAGTGGAGGAGGAGAGGATGGGCTCTGGTGTTGTAGGGAGCACTGGAATGGATTTCCAGATGAAAGACTGCAAAGAATATCATTTTCTTACAGCATTTCCCAATGCCTTCATTAGCTGTCCCTTGCAGAAATAGCTGCCACCATGAAGCTGTTTTCTGTGTGAGATGAGGAGACAATAATTTGTAAGGGCAGCAGAAGACCAGAACCACCTCCATGGCTGCGCTTCATCTGTGCTGGGTTATAACTGACTGCGCAGTGTCCAGCGTGAGAAAAGGAGCTGCTGCTTTTTCTCTGCTAAAAAGTAGTGAATTAAATCAAGCCACAAAGCTAAAAGTGTTTAGTTGTTTTTTGGGTTTTTTTTCAGGGAACAGTTCTAATGCATTTACTGTTTGTTACATTATTTCAAGTTAACATTGTGGTCTTGAGCGTATTCTAATGTGAAATTTTACATTAAAAATGCCTTTACTTTCTTCACAAATCAGTAATGCAGCTTTTCCATTGCTTAATATACTATGCTGTATACCCATAACTGAACTAAAAAGCAGAAACAAAGCTTATAATTACCAGATACCTCTTAAAACAAACAAACGAGCTATTTCACACCTGAAACCACAACACCATGGTATGCAGTAGCAAGTAAAGGAAAAATAGACCAGAAATGTGTAAAGTACTACCCAACAGCACCAACATTTCACAAAAGTACAGGAAACCATTTTAATTTCATGCAATTTGTGCCTGTGTTCATGCTTGGTGTTTCCTTAGAAAAGGTATTTACTGGAATCCCAAAGAATACACAGTAGAGCACATCCTGGGTGCAACTGGTGGTTGAAAGAATCATGGCATTACGGCACTACCACTTCCAGCTCCACTGCATGGAAAGATCCCCCCCTCCTCCCCAGTCACAAGAATTTGCAACTAAGAGAATAGAAAATTAATTTTCAGCAACATAATGCTTGGTATTGGCTTTGTATTGCAAAGCACCCCAGTAAAAGCAAAGCTGTGGTAAAAGCTGACCTCTCTCAGGCTCTCCATTGGGAAAAATGTTTATTTGGCAGCTGGGAGGGGGGAGTTGGGATAAGGGCTTCTGTGGGAAGAAAGAAGAGTGGTAATAGCCAGAGCTAATGGATGAATAAATAGAGAATATTACATGAATAGGGGTTTTTTGTTTTCTTTAAAGGCTTATAATCCTGCAGAAGACAAACTAAAATAGCCCCTTACTACAGCCCTTCTTCAGAACCCACCAATGCAGCGCCTGTTTCAGCGATCTACATCTTTTTCCTTAAGCCCTCATCTTTTCCCCCATTCTTTTACAAGTGTAGAATGGTGTGAATCACACACATCTTTACATCACTGGAACAAACATGACAATAATTTGGGGGATATCTTTAAACACAAAAGACATTTGAGATTTGTTGGTTTTGGTTTGGGGTTTTTTTTTGTTTGTTGTTTCTCAATAAGCTCTCACATCACATCTGTGCCCAAACTGAGCCGGACAGATATGTGTTGCTAAGGGCAAAATCACTTTGTAGGGTCTTGGAGTTATTCCACAAACAGCAACAGAAACTCAGGAAACTCATATTTTGGCTTATGGAAGAGAAATCCAAAAATACCAAGTATAGAATACCCTACCTCTCACGTCCTAAACTCAACCGCCCTCCAGCAGGTGAAGAAGGATCAGTCCAGCTATTCATGCACAGATTTTGTGCTTCTTACAAAGAGCTGCTATGGGTAAAGGTCCAGAAGAACTCTACTGTCTTATTCCTGCTCAGATATATTTGTAGGCCTACATTACATTCACCTGACTTTGTATATGGAGTTCCATGGCAAGGAACCACCAAAGGAAAATTCAGCTCGTGTATGATCTGAATTGCCCTCTGCAGATACCTCTCTGTCACACCTTGATTTAAGTGTAATAGAGGCCACAGTTTCGATGTCTATCCTCTTAAATGTTGTGAATGCCTGGGAACAGAGCAAGAACTGATGAATAAAGTTTCAGTAGGAAAGAAATAAAAGAGGCAGTAATTGATACAGCTTGGTTATGAAGAGTTTTCTGTATAATATTTCTTTGGTTTAACATTTTTGTTTAAAGAACATATTTCAGAAGAGGCCTATTAAAACAATCCATATTTGGTTAAGGTGGAAAGATGAGTAGCATTTTAAAATACATCTTAAACTCTTCTGCCTGAGCTCTCAGTGCAGAGCACTTTTATCTTTGTAAGTACTTCCTTTGTTCCAGCATGCATCCACTGCCGCTGTGGGTGATCAGCATTAGCTGCTGAACCTCAGCGCTAAACAGGTGTCCCATAGGAACGGGAGTGGAGAGAGCAATGAACGGGAGTGGCTGCATCATCCCAAAAACAGAGAAACCAAACTTGCCTGCAGCCTTTCCTTGAGCTGTCTGCTGCTCTCCTTGCACTTCCCAAGCAGCCACTGAATACTTTCCATTTGAAACAAGGTCTTTGCCACCCACCACCAGCCATATCACTTCTTTGGTCCTGCCTTTGCCTATTCATGAGTGCTCTTTCCTCTGCTTTCCTTTCTTTTGCCTTTTCTCCATTATTATGATTTCTGGTTTCTTGTTACTGTTTCTTCCACCTTATGTTCCATAGTTCCAAAAAGAAATGGAAATTATAAGAATAGTGGAAATTACAAGAATTGCCTATTGTGACTATGCTTACACCTTTTGTTGTTGTTTTAAACTGGGGGGTAAGGAAGAGAACATGTGTTCCGTGATTTCCTTTTTTTTCTCTTCCTTCCTTTCCAAAAAAGTACTGAACAGGTTGGATTGCTGGTTTCACAGTCAACCAAAAAAGACAGGTGAAGGTATCGAGGTTTTGACTGGTTTGCTGTTACTAAACTGAGAAAGGGATGGCGAGCATTTACCTGTTCTGGCATCAAGTAGACTGGACAAAACCCACCTAGTACTTCTTAGTTACAAATTATTTTGGCAAGGAAACCCATTGTGGCTTTTATGCATATTATACACCTAAAACTAGTCGGTTGTTTTTTTTTTTCCCCCCTAAAATGAGATATGCAGAGTTCAAATCTGAAGTCAAAGTTAATTGAAGAGCAAAGCTGGGGGCAGTGACAGAAATGGGCTTGGTCTAACCACACAACAGTGATTGGTATAAAGAATGACAGCAGTCTTTGGCAAGCACATGGAATTATCCACATGAGCAAAAATCAAATGGTGCTAAAAACTTTAGGACAACAGATTGCAAGGAAGCATAAAAAAAAACCAGAACAAAAAAACCATACAAATGCAATACAACTAGGTATGTTTACATCACCGATGTGGCAATTTATTTTGTTACTTGCAGTCTTACTTCCCTTTCTGTAGAGTCTACAGGATGCTCCACTGTGTCCAAAACACTGACAAGACAACATCTGTCTACAGCTTATGCTAACAGAATTTAAAAAAAGAAAAATCTTAAAGGATTAAGGCTTGTCACATCCATGTCACTGACAATGAGATAGGGAACATGTCACCTTGCCCATTTAAGCACTGCATTTGAATCCAAGATCCTTTGCTTGTCACACCACGCACAGCAAGTCCAATACGGGACTCCAGTGCCCGGCTCTGGAGTCACCCCCATGTGCACGTGGAGCCTCGAGCGCTGTTGGTGCAACCCAGAGAGCGGGTGAGGTGCTGTGCAGGCAGGGGCTCAGGGCTTTTTGAAGGGCACTGTGTGTCTTGGCAAACTTGCAAGTCAAACAGCGGGGTTGGGGTGCTTTAGCAGCAGCTGAAAGAAGTGGATCACGGTTTTCATCTAAGCCACTCCTGAGTGCTATCATAGACCTGCTCTTGGTATTGAAGTCCTTTATTTCAGTCTAGTTTCTAGACTGGGGAGACATCCCATCTGCAATGTGCCTGCTTTCTGATGGTGGGTCAGCATTAACCTGGACTTGCATGAAGTTCAGTTATGCTGCAATTAATTTGCTAACACTGAAACACTGATATAGACTAAAGGTCCCAAAGATGTATGTTTGCCACTAACAAAAAAACAAGCTACAGGACAAAATCATCTGCTATCAGTGATTAAATTATAAAACAACTTTCACCTCCCCTTCCCTGAAGCTGTGTAACCACAGAAGAGGTTTTCTTCAGCTTCAGGCGGAGCCATCCTGCCCACAGTTCTCTCTGATGCTTTCAGATTAAAGTTTGTCACTACTCCCTCCACATTCCAGCTTCTTCCCTGACCTATCCTTCAGGATTCTGTCATCCTCTGACTTTTCTGTGGAACCAGCCTTGAGCTCCCTCTGGCTGTTGGAACAGACAGTCTGTTCCCACATACACATGCTTCCAGCACAGGTGGCAACAACAAGCAAGTTACTACAGTAGCACTTTATGTAAACAGCAAATGAGGCACAGTAGCAAAGCACCATCGCAGACAAGAAGACCAAAAAGACCACAAAACTGCCAACTTTGACTACACTTACAGCCAGCTCTTCCCTTCACACCTACAAAATATGCTCCAAACTGTCCTCAGGAAGAAAGCTGCAACTGAGGCTCTGCTCACTCCTCTCCTCAACATTTGTGATTGTTCCGAGCTGGCTGATGCCATTTTACCTGGCAAACCACTGAGCAGTTTTGCCAGGGAAAATACTAGCTACCAATATGGGCTGCAATAGGAGGAACAATGCTGGTAGTTTAGTTTTTTTAAGAGCTCCTCAGCTTCCAGCTCCCATCCCAGCCCTTTACAGAAGTGGTGAGGTTTGGAAGAGAGTAGAGAAGCAGAAGATCTGGAGGCTCAGCCCATCAGCCTTGGAGCTCCCAGGGCAGCCCTGCTGCAATTCACCCACCCGATTCTTGCTCATCTTTCACCTCTGGCATGGCCTTGGGGATTCCTCAGGGCAAAAGCACCAATGGACAAATCATCAGTGGAGAGGCACAGCATTAATGAAGGGGTAGGGGGAGGGAGGAGAAGAGAAGAGAAGAGGACCAGTGACAGGGATCCGAGAAACAAACCCTCTTGATCCACATACCTCCTTCATCGAGTGAAGGCCTATGGAGGAGCTCATTAAGTGTAGGATTTTGAGGGGAAAACACAGAGATAGAAAAATACGGACTTTGATCTGGTAGTCTGAGTAGGACAGACTGAGGGAGCTCTTAACAGTCATCCATCATGATCCAATGAAAGGCAACTTTAAAATAGAGGCAGGACAAATGTTACTTCAAGTCAAGAAGTCCTGCAGAGACACATTTAATAAGGGATAGAATCATAGCCATAGAATAGCACACTGCAACCTATTTGTCTGGTATAGATAAGATTTAAATGCCAGAGACTAATTTTCATATAAAACAAGCAGGCAGGGAACAAGGTTATGAGACAGATTAGGTCTAATCTCAATTCTTACATGTAATTCCCCTAAAGTAAAAAACATTACCAGCAAGATCTCCCTGTACACTCATGACCAAATCCACACAGTGTTTGCTCCTGTAGAATAGCAGCTGCATGACTGGCAAGACTTTGCTAAGAACCATCATGCTGAGAAACCTGATAACTCTTTAGTTCATAAACTTCTTCAAAATAAATATTTGTTATAGCTTGATATATAAAATATATTACCTAAGACAGTTGGGTAACTAGCTTTGTATAGCACATAACAAGCCTTTTTGAACCTAGGAGAGCACAGAGATTTGGCTCAGTGACTTTTCTCCTTCTTTTCTACCTGCAAGCCTTCCCATTCCCTCTGTAACCACCATGCACACAATATGCTCAGAAGGAGAGATGAGGTTTGTTTCTTTTTTGCTTATATCTGGCACAAAAAAATGCAAGAGATGAATTATACCAAAGCCTACTGACAGACCTAAACAAGTGCCAGTGCCAAAGGAATGCTGGCTTACACAGAGAAAGAGAGCTCTATGGTCACAGCAGAATACCATGATGAGAGCAGTGCTGATAATTACTGACTTTGTTCCCTGCTATGTTGCATGAAAATTAACTGTTTGTAATGCATCTTTGTGACATGATTTAGACAAACAGCTGATGAAATCTTCCTCACTTGTACCCAAAACACAGCTTTGTTCAGGTTTTTTTTACCATTTAAATGTTTTTCCAGTCTCAGTTATGTTACAGGGTAGAATAAATGCTAGAGATGACAGCAGGTCCATTTAAAGAAGGATATGATTGGACATCTTTTACAATCAGAAGAGAAATCTGAGAAGAGACCTCTCCCAGATAGTCCTAAATCTGTTAAAAAGATCAAATGTACAAAATATAATGCTTGGAAAGTTTATATTCTCTCTGAATCTCCCTTATGATGCTGAGAAAATAAAATGAATTCATATTGCTATGAAATTCTGTTTTTGCCACTGGTGACATCTGAAGCTTTATTGATTAAGAAGACTACAAAATCCTCACCCTAGTCCTCATTTCCAGCATGGAGGCTAACAGCCCAGTCAAGTAACACAGCAATAATCTCTCTTCCACTGAGAATACTTTTATTCACAAGGCAAAAATTGGAGTTAGACTTTTAGGTAGTGGGAAAGGCACTCGCAAAGTGAGCAAATCTATTTTTGCTCACAGAACTAATTTAATGTTTAAGTGCAACAAAAACACTAAATTAGCCATGAAGATCATGCATATCCAACGGCTTTCACCAGACATGACTGTGACCCAGGCCCCTAAATACAGAAATATTTCAGTCCTAAGGAATCAGCTCTATTATTTTCTGCTTCACCAAATGATGTTTCCTTCTGACCAGCCATAGAAATATAATTTCCATTATAATAATTAAACCTTTATTAAAATACTATTTATTTGTGAGTTAATATATTGTCTCTTTCAGTAATAAAATATGGAGTACTCTTTTTATCTATGCTATTTAGACCTCAACTTAAAAGGAAAAACATTCATGCTGAAAATAGATCAATGTACAGCACTAGGTCAGAAATAGAATCGCTTGATTAAAACCCCAGGAACTTGCTGTGAGACTGTACATTGATTAACAATTCACTTTTTCCTTTCATCCACATATTCCATTTTCAACATCTGGCAGTGAGTGGAATACAAACCCGGATTAGCTGATACTGAAGCAAATCTAGCAGCCTCAGCACATCTGTGACAGTCCATCCTTCGGGCAGACTCTTGGTATTTGTCTTTCAGAGCCAGAGTGCTCTGTGTCTTGGGGCAGCACCATTTCTTGCACATGCAGGGCACAGTAGAACGTCACATTGCAATCCTGGGTATTTCATGCCTGGTACTTCATGCAGTGTCCTCTTGCAGGTCTCCATGTCTCTCTCAATGAGGCATATGCACACATTTCCAAACAAATAAGCTGTGTTTTCAAGTAGATATTAAATACGAAAGATAGCAGAATACAATGTTGTTAAAAGAAATGGCTAACATAGCCAAAAGAAAAATTTCAGTTAAAAGTATGATGCTCTGAATATAGATGTTAATGTTTTAACTTATTAAACCTTAACTGTTCACATTAACATTTGGGCTATTTATTTTGTCACAAATACCCTTCTCTTTATTGCACAAGCAGGAAAGCAAGCACACGGATAAAAAGTTGAAGGCTGAACTTGAACTTTACATTGTTATGGACTGTCCATGTGTACTGCTGTGTACTTTTAGACAGTAATGGAAAGGATACATACCTGCAGTCGTCCCCTCCGGCACTGACCACATATCTATCTCCACTTGTAAATCGAATATTAGTTAAGTGGGCAGAGTGACCTAAAAATCGTTTGTGTTTTGCCTGAAAAAAATACCCAAACAACAACAGAATGAGTCTAAATATTCTATGGCCTTCTAAATCAAACAAGGCATGCATGGTTTTAATGAACCTTTCTATTGAATCACATATCTGTATCATTCAGAAGTTACAGAGGTTATCAAATGTGAAAGATCTCCTGAAGGAGAGCTACACTGAGCTGCAATGCAGAGTGAATTGTCACCAAATGAGAGAGCACTGGTAAACTGGGAACAATGATCAAGCTGACACAATACCATGAAATATATCTTGTCATATGATTAACTTCTAAGTTTTGTGAAAATTCTTAACAGTGAAAAAAAAAATTCATTGTAATTTTGTTAGCAGTTTACACTGTGCAGTCTCAAATCTTGAAAATTAAGAGTGAAAGCAAATTAAAAAATCATCATCAATTAAAATTATAAAAACAGTGAAACAAACTGACAGTGTCAGTAAAAAATCTGTAAACCCTTCATCCATGGAGATACACAGATGGGACTAAAATCACCAGCTGTCTTCCGCATCTCTCAAAAGGATCAGAGATGTGTAAACTACTAAGGGCTTTGAGATTATGAAGGCCCTATGCTAATGCAGGCTGGCAGAGAATATCAGCGTACACAAGAGGTTACTGCAAGAACTCTTGCACAAAATGGTAGGAAAACTCTGAGGTGAAACATGCTTACAAGACTATGGAGCTAAAGTTACATTAAAAAGTTCCAAATTTAGAGAAGAAAATATTTCAATCATATGTCTTCTAGACAAAACGAGACAAAAGAACGTAATATCAACAGAGTTGTTGCTGTAACTGTGCAAAAACAGTTCTTACAAATTTTTCAGGACATGGAAAGTCAAACAGTTTGACCATGCCAAAATCATCGCCTGTTACAAGATTGATTCCCGAGTGAGAGACACAAGCACAGTTTACATCAGCTTTTTCAGCATGCCTGGACCAGATTCCAATTACTTCATCCCCAAGAACACTGAAACAGAAGAGCAAAGAGATTCTTTTGAAAACCACAGCAAAAACAATGGAGTAACAAAATGGAAAGCTGCTCTCATATTGTAACTAGTTCCATAAAAATGCAATTTTGACATTTCATTCTCACACATACATGACTTGTATAAGTTTTATTCTGTAATTAATTTTTGTATCATTCTATAATTGTTTTTGAAACTGATTCAGTGATATAATTCCCAAAATAATGTGGCCCATGTCAACACTAAGAAGCAGAAGTGAAATCAAAAGTACTAATACTGTCCAGTGAGGCATTCAGCAAAAGAGAAAAAAAAGAAGAAAAAGAATAAAGAAAGGACAATAGAAATAGAATGGCATAGCAAAAGTGTTAGATGAATAAGTTTCAGCTTTTGGAAAATAAAAAATCATATATTCTCATTATAACTATGTTATGTTGATTCTGTAACATTTTCATAACAATTGCAAGTTTCTCTGAGTCCAGTAAAGGTTTAATTATTTTAAGATTCCAGAAAATTGCCTTTGCAAAGCCTTATAAAAAGGCTTTTATTCAGTTCTCCTTATTATGTATATGCATACTTCCAAGAATGTACAGAAACAAGCAACTTATCATTTGTTAATAGGTGAATTATTTGGAATTTTTCTGTGATTCTTTCCCCTCAATTCAGAGCACAGTACATTACATTCAAAAAGGTATGATTTACATCAGACATGCTGAATTGGGTCAGAAAATACCAGAAAATACCAGTTTCTTGTTTTCTTATCAAAGTAGTGACAAAAATGGATTACCCAAACAAAAACCAGAAATCTAGCAAAATGAGTCTTTCAGAGCCCTCTAAATGCTTACAATTTTAGTTATGTCTTGCAGCAAATAGTCAGGATTATTATTGTTTAAAGTGGTTCATGTGTGGAAAACTTTCATGCATTTATTCTCAATTTTTGTCGGGTGAGGGTGATATCTGAGGGTGATAATTAGAGGACAATTTCTGAAAGCAAGCAAAGGAGACTGAAATAAGGCACAAAAAAATCAGATTTGCATAGAATAGAAAAGAAATTATCTTGAAAGAAATATAATAACTTTAATGCACTTAAAAGTACTTTTGCATGCCTTGTAATAAGCAAATGTTAATAGTAACTTTATTATACAGATACGATTAGTCTAATACTTTAAATAAACTTGAATTACCCCAGCTGTGTATTGTCTTTTCAAGCTTTCATATGTACTCTCATCACTATTTTGAAGTAAATAATGCAAGGGTTGCACCAAAGGAGCCAGAGATACCCAGAGAGCAGAAAGGCACCTTGTGAGAGATCAGTTTTTATCGTCCTCACTGGTCAGACAGCTGATGTCTGATGAGGGAATCTGCTGTGTGCTGCCTTTTGCTGTGCTGCTGATCTGTTGCCAGAGCAGATGCGTGTACTAAAAGAAAACACCTGACTGAATGAAGGGATGAAATACACTTTTAAACAGTAGGTGCTTCTTCTGGGAGTTACAGGTGTTTTAACGGGTGTAAATATGCAAATCATTTACCTTGTCCAAGTAGCCCATGTTATTCTGTCAATCACAGCCTGGTCCACAAGCTGTTTTCCTGAAGGCACTTCATACACTTGCCTTTTGTAAGACCCCGTAGAGACCTTTGAGACAACCACAGAGAATTTAGAATAGATTAACTTGATTTGAAAGATGTAAGTATAAATGTAAAGGGCTTTGAAAACCATTTTCTTGACCGTTATCTCTTTCTCCATAAAGTAACTTAGCTATTTAGAAAACTTGGTCAGTGAGTTGAAAACTCTCAAAAATCCATAGAAGCATAAAGCAACAGTGAGAAAGCATAAGAAATCTTAATATTTTAATGTCTAATTAATAAAAAACAATTGAAACATCTCACGTTCTGCACATATTAATTTTCTCTATACATTGTGTACTAGTGCTTGTGTACAATCAAATAAGGCAAAATAATTTCCTGTCTTTAAAACTGATGCAAAAGCATTCCTCTTTTGATTTTGATTCCTCTGCTGATTTGTTGATGAGAGAAGCTTACTTTTCCTCTCAAATGTGAGTAAAATATAGAAAGCAAACTATACAGACTTCATTTTGATTTTAAAAACTTTCTTGAGCCCTCCTATGGTTGGGAGTTGCAACACCACGATTTTGGTGCCACTCCACAAAGGCCAGCACTAAAATGACTTGTAATGCCATCATTGGCATTACCCTGGTCAGAGTACAATGGTCAGAGTCCAGGGCCCTGCCTGGGCCCTGCAGAATGACAGACTGTACTCCTTCCTCTTTTAAGATGGTCCATCAGCATCAGAGCTAAAAAAGCAAGGAGACACAGTGATCTTGAAATCTGTTTCTCATTTCTATGCTTATTTCTTGTATTTAATCTCCAGGAAAACTATTGAAAATTAAAGGCATCCACTTAGCACTACAACAAAGTAACAGTCTAGTGACAGCAACATATTATCAACACTTAGTTACAAAACTTAGAAGTAGTCAAAGGAGAACATCTGCAGAGCAGCTGTTTTTCATTCAGTACCTTGAACAATTAATGACTGATACCTGGAGATAAGAGCTATCAGCAGAGAAGTCCATCTGGATCACAAAACTTGGGATATCTTTGCAATAGCTGATTCGATTTAGTGTGGGACCCAAAGTCAGATCATAAAAATCCACTGCATTCTCACTGGAACCGACTGCTAAGTATCGAGAATCTGGGCTAAACCTGAACAGACAAAAGGGTTTTATGAACACAGGTCAGCACATACAACAGATCCAAACATTTGAGAAGCACGGGTAAATTTGCATTTCAAGTATCTGCTATCCAGAACTAGATGGAGGTAGAGTATTTAGTCTGCTAAGCAGGGAATGCATATCCAGTCGAAGGTGGCAAAAATTTTGGTACAGATGACACATATAAGTGAACTGGGAACATCTCCTGAATACTTCTGTTCATTACCTGACGTCATGACCATCTCAATGGTCTAACAAATTATGGCATGCCCCTGATGACTTTGATTCTCTGATGCTAAACTTACAAGGTTATGAGCTAGAAAAATTAAATGGTGTAAATGAAGAAAAGCCGGAGGTTCTATATGAAACGTTCTGAAAAGATGTGAAATCAGACCTTCTGTCTGCCCAGTGTATCTTCACACAGTGGTTTCTTTCCTCTGGTTTTCCTTTCTAGCCTTCAATAGCTTCCTGAGCTGAAAAAATTCCTCACAACCCCTTCTGTGTTACTAGGAAGTTTCTTTAATTCTATTCTCTCTGAAATGTATCTTGGGAGAGCTTTCTGATTCCAACAACCCTCTAACTCCCACAAGGTTCCTGTTTGCTCATATTTCTCTCTCATCTCACTTTGCTCTCCAAAAGCTTTCCTTAGGTGATCATGACCAGTTCATCTCAAAGAAGAAACATCTTGTCCTCCACTCAGGAAATGGCCAAATTTTACTTCTAACTCCTTTCTAGGAAAAACAAAGAGCAAACTGACAGACAGGCATTTCCATTATCTCTCACAATCCAGTCTTAGCCTCTAAATTTCTGATTTCATTTTACCTCTGACACATCATCTCTTACCTGGAGTGTGCCAAACACACCACACAGCTCGGTGTCATTGGCAAAGGTGCTGAGATTGCACTCAACCCTACTGTCCACTCTGCCAAGAAAGATGTTAAACAACAACAGCCGCAATGCCAGCCACCGAGGAACACCACCCATCACTGGTGCCCATTCCATCAGTCTTTTTGACCAATAGCTCTCTCTCATCGTCATGTACCTCCTCCTTCCTTTTTATCCCCGGTATCAGAGTAATCACAAAAGCCCCACAATTCGCTCATTGATTCCAGCTCTCTGAAATATTATTGCAATGCTCCTCAGAATACAAAACAGTATTTTTAAAACTCAGAATATTAGAGATTTCTAGCATACTGCAATAGACAAAGGGATTATATTTTCTGACCTGATATCTTGAATTGCTGATCTTCTGTCCCTTTTTTTCCCCCAAATTTTTAGAGAGGTCACAAGCAAGATAATAAATTCTCCATTTTTCATGCCAATGGCTACCATATCGCCTTCTGGGCTGTAACAAACAGTACGAGCTGCATGTCCTAAGCTGACTTTGTTTAGCATCTTCTGTGAAGAAATAAAACCCCAAAATAGTAACTGTTATTATTTGTCCATATTTTAAAAGCACCTTACACTAATAGTTTGTTAACATGTATCGGATGGATTATTCTCAGAATTCATTAAAAACCAAGTTTCAAGTCTGCAACACCATCATAAGCCTTTTTTTTTTTTTTTCCTAAACAACTACCTACCTTTTCAACAATATCCCAGAGTCTTACTGTGCCATCTTCTGCAGCAGAAAGGAAAAAGTCTCTGGATGGATGCGTGGCTAGGCCCCAGATTGGTCCATCCATATGACCATTAATTAAAATGTTACATGCAGCATTTTTCTCTCCAACTTCAATTATTTCAGCATTTCTTGTCCCAACGAGAATTTTCCCCTTGAACAATAGTGAAGAAATTATCTCTGATATAATATATTAACCACTCATGATGAACAGTAATAAAGATATAATCTAGAGCTACAGTTCTGTCGAGAAAATTTGCTTAAATTGCATTGTTAAATAATTAGTTACTTTATATATTTTAAACTCCTCTGATTTATTGAAGTACAAAGCTGTATAGAAATCATGATGCTAGTTGAGTTATTGCTTGTAATATGATACTTGATATTTGATATCTGAAGTGTGAAAATAGAAAAGAAATAATCGTCTTTAATAAAAATATATATGAATATTATCCTAAGTAAGACTGACGTCTCACAAAGTAGATGTTCTTCTGCTGCAATATCATTGTAGACACCTTCTAACTAAAGCTTTAATTTCAAATAGTAATTACAAGAGAAAGCAGAGGTCATTTATCTGTTATTTACAGAACCACCTACAAATTATAAACTTTATTTTACAGACAGGAGGCTTTCTTTACCTTGCCTCTACAAACAGAACGAACACAGTCTGTCATTTGTCCTGTCTCTAGTCTGAAGGCACGACATCTTTTTAGCTCTTGATCCCATAGCTTAACTGCTCCTCCTTCCTTTGAACTATGAAGACATCAGGAAAAACCATGAGTATAATGGCTGGCACAAAAAAGACAATTAATATAAGAAAAAACTATGTTATTTAACATAATATATTGCAAATGAGGCATTTTTAATTTGTTTTTACTGAACAGCTGAGTTAATATGCTGAGCCTCCTAACTAAGCAAGACATTCTGATTCCAAGTTCTTACTGTACTACTTTACAGAACAAGTTGAGAGATGGGCACTGCTCAGTTTAGTCTGAATGAGCTGCCCTGAGGGAATTTGTCTAGTCATAAGAACAGTTAAGTGTGTGAACACAGTACCATCCCAATAATAACACAGGTAGAGATTATCAAAATATAGTTGAGGAAAACAGGAACGGTATGTATTTTTCTTCTGTGAAATAAATGACAGAAGATTTTCACTTTTGTGAAAATGTCACTATTTTCATTGGTATGAAATAAACGACAAAGATATAGCAGAAAAAACACACATTAATTGCACAAGACACCCAACTAGTAAGTATTAATTATGCAAACACTAAGCACTTCCCACCCACTTGCAAAAAAACCCTGGTATTTCAGTAAAGAACACACTCAAAACGTTTCTGAAAAAGAGATAATGTTTACTGAATCAGTTATAAATCTGGCATTTACAGCTGAGCTAGAACATGCCTTCACAGAGAAAAGAATCTCTCCTAACAGACACAAAATACAACGTTCCACCATACTGGCTGCCTGTGTTACAACTCTGATTACTGAATGAACCCTGAAAAAGAACTTCAGAAAGTTTAATTAGAATTACTGGGTTTGTACTATTATTATGAAAAGAACTGTAATGAATTATAAATTCATACTCCTTACAATAGAAAATTCTTTGCTTCCCACTAGCACTGTCCTGACATATCATACTCATCATACTCAGCAAAAGGATTTTACCAAAACAGGTGGATGAACTGCAACTAAGAATGCCCAGGCAGAAGCAAGGATGCAATCTTCCTAAATGAGAATTTTTTTTGCATTCTGCCAATACTTCATTTTCCCACAAGAGATGAACTCTTGATTCTTACTGGTTTTCATTACTATTTCTTTCAGATCAAATACTAAAAATTAGAAGTCTCTAAAACAAGTAGTAGAGAGAACATCCTCTAAATAAATTTACAACAATGTTTACAAATACTAAAAGAAAGTATTTCAAACAAAGGAATAAGTAAGATTTCACCTTGTCTGAAAAGATAGTAAGTGGCCTGTGTCCTGCAAAAGGGGACACTATCATGTCATCAGATGGACCATATTACAGCTGAAGTGTTTTTTTTCTTTTATCATTAGCAAGGCACTAAAAAAAAATTAAAATGCTTGAGGAGATAATTTGTTTACAGCCCCAGAAAAAAATGATCTTGTTGCACCTTAGATTTAAAAGAAGACAGCTTGCCTCTGCCATCATAACTCTGCCATCATAAGCATGTCTTTCCTTTGAAAGAAGTTGCGCACTATGCTGTAAAATTTATCACTCATTTATTTAATCAGAATTGTGTAAATTACTGGAGTTAACAACCTCAGTACATTTTCAAAAAAAAAGTAACCCTCAAGAACTAGTTAACTTCTTAGTACTTAAAGTTAAATGGAGGTTGGAGCTAGAGAATATTTAAGGTCCCTTCCAATGGTAACCATTCTATGATTCTAAACTTCAAACTAAATCTTTTTGCCTCCTCTCATAAATAATCCTCTGATAAATAGTGCTGAACCATTTAGTAACATAAGGTAATTTCAAGGCTACTTTTGTTTATAATAGTTCAGTCATTTTCAGCTTAAGGAGGTAGAACTGTATTATCTCTTTAATAATTGTGTATTTGTACTAGGAAAAACATTACCTGACTGATGTAATGCAGTATAATTGATAATGCAATATTACTAATAACCCATTCACGTAATTTATTTTACACTTGTCTATTATTTTTAAACAAAATAGTGTAAAGTCAGCGTAAAGTACCTGAAGAAGCCTGCACATATGCTTCAGAAAGATGACTGTTATCATGAAGTTAAAATGATGAAGAACTACTTGTACAGCATTTAGAGTCTGATTCATGCCCCTTGGCTTTAGGTAATTAAGCATGGCACCCTTGTCAGGGGCTGGAGTTTTACAGGATCCTAGCAACCCTAAGCTTTCTCTTATAATCAGTGGGAAAACACAGGTAGTTGAAGCTCATATGGGGTTAACCTGCACTTTGGATGCAGTGGCTACTCTTTTTCCTAAACCTGGTCAGGGATCCGAAAAGGGACTACTCTTCTAGCTCTGATGTCTCAGCTGCCTAGTGTTAGATGGGATGAATCCAAACCATTTTTAAAGAGTACATGTGCATGAACTAAAAAAAAAAAAAAAAAGAAGGAAGACTCACGGCCTTTCTTTGCCTCCTGTAACAATCAAACCATCTCTTAATGTGGTGTACATTGTGAAAACAGGTCCGTTGTGAGCTTTGGCCACAATTCGTATCAACACGTGATCTTTCCAAACACAAACATCTCCACTGATAGTACCTGTAAATGTCAAGTTATTCTGAAAAGGGGAAAAATATACTCATCATCTGATTCTGAGTAAGACAGGAAGAAAAACATTAAAAAAAGAAAAGATCATCACCATTTGTACCATAGGCTAAATTGCTTTTATTTGCTGCTGTAGAAGAAGAAACTGTGGAAGAAGCAATAAGAACCTCTAGAGACAAAACTGAGCTACTATATTCCTTCTTGAAGTCTGAAACATGCTCTGCACTGCAAGAAGAAATGCAACAACTTAAGCTTCATCCGCATGGTTATCTGTGCTTTCAGGCTATCAAGTGTACAATTTGTAGTAAAACAGTAGAAAATCACAGTAAGGAACCTGTTATTGAGCAAAACTGTTTCACTAACTTACATGAACAGTCCTCAAATTCAGCATCATGTGTAGTAGTTCAGAGTATCACTATGCATTACAGATGTGGCATGAACACTTTCCTTAACTGAAGAGGGTTGATGTTCTACATCTTTTTTTTTAAGAAGTGTGTGCGTGTGTGTGTATCTAGTAAAATAAAAGAGGATGAGAAATGAACTTGAGAGCAGATCCTCTGATTATCCTCACAGCGTATCTGTTAGGCCCTTTCCAGCTTCTGTTTAGGGACATGTGAACTAGCTCCTTCTGAGACCAATTCAAGAGGAACCCTCCCAGAACTGCTCCCTACATGGAATACGGAGAACTCGCTGGGTTTGGCTTTGTTCAGTTTGCACAGCATTTCACAAAACCCCTGCAAACTCTGCATCCTCAAACAACCTCATACCAAACCCTAGGCCATTTCGCATACAGCCTGATTCTCACACTAAGAACCTGTCTCTCCATGAGAAAGTTCACAGAGGTTTCCCAAACTCCTTACTAATGCCTGGGTTGTGCATCAGTAACAGTTATTATTTGGAAACCATCTTGTTTCTTTGCAAGACTCTCTTTTAAATCAGTCAGAAAGCTCATGAAACCACAGGCCAGTTACAGTTTCAAAAAGAGAAATCTATGGTGTAAATTCAGTCTGGACCAAACAGGCAGATCACTAAACAGGATAGGGATGCACATAAGGAAAGTAAAGCACCACTTCCCGAAAGAAATTTGCGGCCTTCTGCCCAGCTGAAGAGATGAGTGCTGCTCATACAGAGCGACTCCTGAAACAGCAGTGTCATGGTACTTAGCAACAAGGCCTGCACATGTCAAAAACACCCCAAAGCAAAACAGTACCCTGCTGTGGTTGTCTAACAGTGTCTAACAGTCACAGACATTAACAAATGCCCCAGGACAACGCTGCTCTCTGATCAGCCATGAGCAGTAATACATACAGATTATAATAGAATCACCTCCAGGTGGGCATAAAATTAGTCTCATTTCTACTGTTTGGATTAAATACCAAGCAGCATTTTATAAGCCCAAAAGCACCTATATTTGCTTCTCTTGAAAACATACAAATCCATAATCTTCTTTTCTTTTCTGTTCTAAAGAAAGCTGGTATTAGTTCTAATTAGCAGGCAGGTATTAGAATTGCTAAACTGAGTTTAATAAAACAACTAACATAGTCATTACCAGGTTAGAAAAGTCTCACTGAACTGAATAAAGGCAGAAGGATAAAAACATTTTTGTTTGTATGCATTTTCAAGTAATTTGTTGAAGTACATACCGCTCCAAAAGCTACAGATAGCATTGTCTGCATGCGGGCATCTTCTATGGAGCTCAGCAGCCCTTTTTTACTGAGAAGAGCTCTTCCAGCCAGTGTCCAGAACCTCACATGTTTTACTCCCACAGAAACAAACTGGGTGTCTGAATCTGGTCTGAATTCTGCTACAAATATACGCTGGTTATGTCCGGCTCGGCTGGCAATTTTGGCACCTGGCAGAAAGAAAATGAACATTTTGAACTAGCTGAGAAAAATACCATTTCCAGTTAAAAAATGTTAAAATCATCTTAACCAATATGAAGGTTCCTTAGTTGCCATTTTAAATCTGTATCAACTCTTAAGAAGGAGAGCATGAGATGAGCATGTTCTGACTGAAATGGCAGTGAATGCTGCATGAGCTTTTACCACACACCCTTCATCCTACCTAAGATTGTATAAAGATCCACCTGATACTGTGTCCATCATTAGATGTAGCTAGACAAGCTGTGAAAGATCATTTTCTATTAACTTGATAGCTGATCTTTAAACTTCTGAGAGTTACTAGTTGATCAACAGAAATCCCCAAAGAGAGAAGTAAACCCCAAAGACCAGAGAATCAGACTCATAATTTGGGCATGGCTTTGTCAGATAGAAAGAAGATGAGAAAGGAGCTCACCAAACTGCTTTAGCCTGAATCCTGAACACAGATCAAAGCTGATCTGAAAACATGTAGTATAGCTTAAGACACCAACTACATAAGATGCATGGCACCACATTTCTACAATTTGCAATTTTAGGGAATAATTTTATAACAACCTAGTCAGTAATCAGACTTTGGAGAAGAATAAGAACAGAGAAGAATGAAATAATAATAATAATAATAATACATAAATAATGAAAACTACATTTTTCTTTATTCTGGCTGAAAATCAGTGAACTATCTTGATCTTAACACAATAATGTCAAAGGATATATATTAGGCAGTTACCAGAATGGGTAAATACATTTATTTAGCTCATGTTGTACAGAGCATAGCACACAGCATTTCTTGTAATAATTTTTGATCTTCTGATATTTTAATGTTACAATTGCTCTTGACTCAAGCCAACATACCTCTAAAAATATAAACACATTCTACAAAATCAATCACTTTCTTACCTTCCTGCCACTTCCAAATGGTAATGGTATGTTCAGGATCCAGCCCCACGGACAGCAGCAGTTTGCCAGTGGCACTGAAACTGACTGAGCAAACGCCCTTTGAATGGTAGCACCGCAGTACTGACAGTGTCTGTTTGTTCATTGCATCCCACACATGGATAGAAGGAGCTGTAGCTACACAAATATAACAACATATCATTCGTATACATTTTCAAAATGTCTTATAATTTGCTTAAAGTCAAACAGTTAATATTTTTTAGTAAGACAAATAAAATTGTTGTGACCAGACAAGGAAAAAAAGAAAGGAAAGAAAAGAGATTTTGGCCTCCCTTTGGAAACCAATTTACAGTAAACAGGATCACTAGGTAGAACTAGCAAGGTCTCATTATATTACCAGAGATGAAAACTTTGCTTAATGTGTTATGGGACTTCTGAAGTACAGAAGAAGTTCTGACAGCCAGCTGTCTTCTCCTGGTTTTTTCTCCTAGTAAAACTTAGATCAGCATGCTAACTCAAAACACTCCATAAATATTGAGTGGCTTATCAAGAATGTAATTTCTATGGGGGCTTTTGGACAACTGATAGCTACAGAGAAATTAGTTTACAGCGCAAGGCCAAAATCTTCTTTCTACAAAATGGTCATCTGTCTGAAATGCATGCCCTCTTAGGAGAGTGTCAGCTCAATCATCATCCTGCTTACTGATGTACAAGAATTAGGGTATTTAGTTTGCATTGTTTGGACTGCAAGCTCTTTGCAGTAAAAACTGTCTTTCCATGCTACTAATGTATGTGATTATTTGTACCATAATGACAGCTAGGTTTTTCCCAAACACAATGTCTTCTCAAAAGACCTTGTAATCCACACACAGTTTCCAAACTCTGAACAGTATCTAGGGTATTTCCAGGACAGTAAGATTATCAAACTTCTTCTGATCTCTAGTAAATTTGACTGCAGAGTCTGGAAGTTATCGGTTCTTGTCATAGACCCAGATTCACACAAACTAAATTCTATTTCAGCTTCATCCTTTGTGTTTTTAATCAGCTAAATCTAGGCCCTCAAAGGCACACACATGATGGGAAACAGTAAGCACAGGGACCTAGGCAAAATTTTAGCCCCATGAAACACAGTTCTTGAGCACAATCTCACACCTGTTCCAAACTAGTCTTTAGAAAAATCTTCCTAATTTCTTTTCTTTCACATTGGAATTTCCCCTCATGGCAGCAATACGGTGTCATCATTACCTCTTGAAAGGTACTACAGCATAGTATGGACATGCCATTAAAACAGAAAAAACGGGGGTTGACAACAACTGGCACATCCCAAAATTTTCAGCAAACTCCTTGCTGTCCTTACAGGAAGCTGAGGGAAGAGAAAGCTTTATTATGGCTCTGAACTGGTTTTTTTCTCTTCAGCACTCCCCTTGGTAAAACTCTGTATCGTCCTTGACCTCTGCATCTACCCAATAACCTTGGCCAGAATTTTCCTTTTGGGTGGCAGACAGAAAATTTCACCTAGATTTCCTGAATAAGAACTGAAAAAATCTTTCAGAGCAAGATTTGCAGGACAGAGGACATGGACTCTGGGATCCTCCTACTTGATGGAGTTTGTCTGAATGTCTCTGTCCTGACACTGCATCCTGCTTGTGGAGTAGTCAACACTCTCATAGGAGAGATTTTCTAAAGTATCATCTACTTCTGAGAGCAGTTAGATAAAGCTACCATGGGCTGGCAGGACAAAAAATATCTTCAGCAAGGTGGAGAAAATCTACAGCAAGTTATTAGGCTGGAATGGCAAATTAAGTTTCCTATTACAAACACTACTGCTTCAAGAACCCCTGCATCACTGTAGACAACTGAAAATTGGAACTAGAAAAGCAAAAGTTTTTGCTTAGAAAGTTGCCAAATAGCCATGGATAAATTTTAAGTGAAACTATCCAACTTTCTAATGAAGGCAGGCAGTAGCTTGGATTCCAGACTAATGGTTCCACAAAGGAGAAAAAAGTAAGAGTGCTCATTTCAGGCCATGACAACAGAATTTAGTTATATACACAAGCTCAATCTAAAGTTGCAGTAGAAAGAAGGCATGTGAGACAGGGAAAGTGTCCAGACACCATATGCAGGACCAAAGATGTTCTTTCATATAAATAGCCATATAATCACTGATTTTTTTAACAGGTTAAAAGTGTGGGAAAAGGTACCTATATTCTTCCTCCCATCCTTAGAGCAAGCACAACTTGGCATATTTAAGAGAAGTCAACACACATTAAGGATGTCATTGTACATCTGTTCTTCACAGAACAAGCTTTAGGTCCACATGATTATTACACTTTCTAGTACACATGAACACACATTTATGCATCTCTGAAGATTCTTCATAAGACAATTATGGGTACTCAACAATGAACTCATTTACACATGATGGTGATGAATTTTTAAGATTACAGTTGAAAAAACAACACGTTAATAAAAAATAGCTCAGTCAAGACTGTCAAACTGTCAAAGACTCAAGATGATACAGGAAAAAATTAAACTGACATCATAACAACATTTTGGATCAGTGGTAGTAACTGCATGACAATTGTACACAAATGTGAAAGGTGATTGTTTTTTTCACTCAGTCACCTAGGCCTCCTCAATGGAATTTACTTTAGAAATGCATATTAAAATTATACTCAATTGAATGTCTAAAGCAAACATTAATTTTCAGCCCCAACATGTCTACAAAATCTGCAAGCATACACAGGAATGCTACAGTAGCAGTATGTGTTAGCACTCACTAATCACCAAGCAGCAATAACGGGAATATGTAATTACAAAAGTAGTTTTTAAGTGTGTTCTAACATTTTTATTGTTTCAGTATATACAGTCTGCTGAGTTGTTGTGGTTTATATTCAGTGCTGACAGTAATATGACTGATACAGGGTTTCAATAAACTAAGAATGAATTCACATCACTTATGATTCTACAAAGCTGCAGATGGCTACTAGATAGGCTAACTAGACCTGAAGATGTTAAAATTTTATTTCCCTTACCTGACATATCTGCTGAGTCTCCTGTAATGGAAAAGCAGCAGAAAGATAATTAGATCAGAAATAAGATAAGCGCTAAAGAAAATATACGCCACATTTCGTGTAATTTCTTAACACACACCTTGATGTCATCTCTTTGCATTGCAGCACCAATACTGCTTTCAGTGTTAAAGATGAATAATTACTGATAAAAGGAAGCCACATCAGAAACAAATCATAAAATGAATATATTTTGATTTCCATTTTGAGTTACAACACAAAAATCTACTTTTGGTGTATGTTAGGTTTCTCTCTGCCAAAGTAAATGAAAAAGATTTTTTTCAAGTTATTTGTATTTTAACAAATTAAGTGGAAAAAAAATGCTTGTTGCTTTTCTGATAAGAAGTAGAGTTTGAGTCTGACCTTGACAAATGGCAAATAAACCCAATAGTCTCCTACAGAGCATTAAGAAATTGGGAATTTAAAGGGTCACATACTGTAAAGTATTACCAAGACTGCATAGCATTACAGTTTAAAAATACTTGAGATAATACTTCAGTAAATCTTTTGAAGACTACTATGTTTATGCCAATCATATGAGTAGGAAAAGTGACAGCAGTTAAGTATGTTCTTTAAGGAGTATGTACACCTTAACATCGCTTCAAAATGTAAAAGTAAGTGTTGTTTGAAGATATTTTGCTTCCTGTTCATTTTTCTGATTTAATTCCCTCCTTAAAAGTATATGTTTTTTAGTCTAATTTTTGTCATCTGCCCTGATTTGTATGCCTTAATCCATATTACAAACCAGTTAAAATTGTTCTACTGCTAGTTGATGTAGCAATGCTTATGAAATAAAAAAGAAATATGCTGAAAAAGCAAATTCCTAAAGACAATAAAAGGCCTGTAATTCCTGCAAATGTTCTTTGCAATCAAGCCATAGGCAAATATCTGCTGATAATTTTTTACATTACAATAATGTCTGTTAACAATTTGTTTACAATTATGCGAGGCAAGAAACTTACCAAGACATCAAGCTATTTTAGCTAAGCACTTACTATTATCAATGAGTCAATTCTAATGAGACATGCACCTAAAAATCCAAAATACACAGAAAAGCAGGTAATAAACTGTGAAATAAACTGTGACTGTATTTAGATGAAACCTCTAAAATACAGTTACATAAAAAAATAAACTATTTTGACTAAAATGAAGTAAGGGGGTTTTCCATATTCTAAGTGTTGAAGAAAACAATGTGGGTTTGAATCTGCTGACAAACAACTGCAACCAGATTGTAGGACTACAAAGCTCCCTATTCTGCAAAATTTAGAAACAGCAGTTTCTATCAGCTATGCAGATGCACAGTGGGGTTTTTGCTTTTTCTTTTCCTTTTTATTAACCTTGTTAGTTCATAGGTCAATTTTAATAGCACTATGAAAAATATATACATTTTCCCTCTAAGTTTAAATTTATTTGTAGTGAAACATCATTAGGGTTTTGTTTCTGCTGGGAATATTACAAATATGTAGTATCAGACCACCAAGTATATATTATAAATCTGCCTGATAAAACCTACACAGTGTGACATTTTTGAAGAATTCTGGCTTTAATCCATATAGAAATAAAGGTTAGCTTGATCCATCTTCCTTGGAAGGTCAAACACAAGCTGATTGTTCAATAAAAACAGACTAATTTCATGGGGCTTAAGATTTTGGAAAAAAATAGTTTTGATAATACTCCAGACAAAAGATAAATTTATTTTTCTTTCATGCCTCAATATTTTTTGTCAGCTTTATTAAATTACACTCAAAAAAAAAAACATGTAAAGAGGACAGGTAACTGAGTAACACGCATACAAACGGAGATAGCATAATCAAATATTTTTGTGATTTATCATGAACTTACAAAGCCCTAATTGCATGCTCTTATGTTCATTCTTTTTACAAAAATACAAACATACCTACTTGGCCAGTTGCCACTATGTTGGTAAACTTGGGGTGCTGATTAACAGTGAGGCACAAAATATCATCATTGTGTTCCTGGTAAAAAGACTGAGAGCCTAAAAAGATTAAAAAAAAAAAAAAAAAAAAGAGGTCAACTTTAATTAAAACATTTACACACATGTAGACATGGTCACTATTTGAAAATTTTATATCTTTTAGAAAACAGGATTATGGTGATGTTGCATTTGGGAGTTTAAAACCAGAAAAGAGAAACTCCTAATTTTTTATCTCTACTTTAACACACAGCCCTCAATAACTCCAAACTACTTCTTCAAGTTTTCCACATCAAGTTGCTCAAATTTCACAGAAAAAAATGGCATTGTGTTACCCTTAAATGGTCGAAGTTATCCAAACTAAACTGGTTATTAGGAATGAACATATGCAATACAGTTGACTGAAAAGTAAACCAAATACTATTAACTTATTTTAGAAAAAAACCCAAACAAACAAACTACAGTGACCCTGTTGTTCAGCTCTTTTAGTTTCTGTAATCATTTTAACATGCAAATTTCAAAAAACTAACACCAAAATCATCAAATCTTTACTTCTTTCAAAGTTTAGTCACCAGGAATATTTCAATATACTTAGTTTGCTTATGCAGATATTATGAATCATCTCTAAAGACTGAATTTTCCAACAACAAATAAAAATTCTACATACTTATTTAAAGTATATTAGTTACTTCATAAACTGTAACTCATATATAAAAGAAATGTTTTCCCTCAAAATTTTCTCCTACCTGTTGCCACATTGTACAAGATCCCAATAGATGCAGTATGATATATTACATCAGCACCATCATTCAAATAGTGCACATTGTTCCTGCAGTCCTTGCCTCGATACCCAAACACCAGCTCCAAAATTAGGTCCTAAAAGAGATATCCACATCTATTAGATACTGTCAAAGCCTTAAAACAATTATGAACTTTACAATCTTTTCTAAAATTTTATTTTTTAATTATGTCCTTATGTAGTAAATGAAAAGGGCTTAAACAATGTCTCAAACCAACAGAAATTGAGATTGTGCCTTTCCCATCAGTTTACATTGCTGCTCATTCTTGTCATACACAGTCATGTCACCCTTTCATACCTATCTGGTGGACACTGCAGACTATTTATGTCTGTATATACACGCATATATATATATATATATATGTATATACACACACAAAGAGACACTCACATACATGCACATAAATAAACAAACGGCAGTGAAGGGCATAAGTCTTCTAATACAGAAGACACTAAGAAACAAAGAATGACAAACACTGGTCCACAATTTAATTCCAGCTGGCAATTCAGAAAGCTGAATTACAGCCTAAAACTTCTAGAACACTGATGTCAAAAGTCTGCTTATTATGCTACACCAATCATTTTATAGCATTGATGATATTTGAGTTGGTATAAAGAACTGCATTTTCCAAGGTTAGATGAAATTTCCACTTCACAGTAATCAAAAGTGAGTATATTTATTTGCAATTGCCATCAAAAAATCAAAACAGGTGTCCAAGTTAAAGGCAATTAATAGAATTTTTAGGATTATTTTTAAAATTTTTATCCACGATGAATTTTAAATGAAGTTTTAGAATAAATTAAAAAAAAAAATTAAATAAAAAATGCTTTGTTTTATTAGCAATAATACACCCTTTAACAATCTAGTTATCTACACAGGACATATTGCTTTCTACATGCATTTCAGAGGTTTTATGATTACTAAGAATTAAGTTGTACTCAACTTAATTTGCAAGAAAAAGAAGTACAGCCTCTCCCACTTTTTCTGCTATTTACCCACTAGTCGTTATCTCCATCTTTGACACATTTAACATAAAACAATCATTTAATGTGTCCACAGACACATGTTCTGGAAAACAAAATCCTAAAAGGAGAGGAAGAGGAGATCAGTGTTTTTCTTACCTCTATAGGTCTCTTTTTTTTCCCCACGTTATTTGTCTGAAGTTTCTCCGGCTGTGGCAATGCCCTACTAACTGGTGGTCTGAAATAAAGAACTGTGAATAAGAGAAGGCTGTCCGTCACCCATTCCATACTAACACAATACCTTCCAACCTGCTAATGCATATGGAAAACTTATACCCTATCCTACTTAATTAATATTTGTATTCATCCTTAAAAGGAATATCTCTGTCAAAGGAGAAAAGCAAAATCCAAAATCCTTTAACATGCTAGGTTCTCTAACAATTCTTCAACAATCTGTGGGGTTAATGCAAAGGCTTGTTTTAAAATGACTAACCACTTATAAAATACTCTTAGCTTTTTCAAGCTATGTTCTTAAGGTACTTCCATCTTCTCTGTAGTAATTTTTACTGAATAAAGGCTTACCTGATTAATCTAAATACTTGGGATAATCATTCCTATTCCCACATGCCTTCAGTAGACCCTAACTTTTCCTAATTTTGTAATAATTTGCAAAGAACTCCTGGTGCACCTGCCCACTCCCTCTTACATCAGCAGAAATGAGGTATCAATCAATGCTTACTGTACCATGCAAATGCAGGAGTAACAGCCATAATTTATGTTCCACTGTTCTGAATAGTCCAGATTTAATTAAGAAATCTCAGCAGGATATATTTAACAAATATCTGCAACCTATCTTTCACACTATGTTCAGCTGTTCATATACAAAGAAACATACAAACAAATGAGCTTTATTTATTAAAATTATGCAGCTATTCCCAGTAATTTGCAGGAGCATTGGTTATTGATTCTGTAGATACAGCATTTGTGGCCATGACAAGAAACCTGTAAGCTTGACTGTTAAGAGGAACAATTAATTTAAAAATAAATTTTATGTATAGATTCAATTACATCCAGATGATTTAATACAATAGGCAGTATAACAAACTAATACCACACATAAAGCAACAGGTCAGCTTGTTTTTCATATTCCTTTGTAGTACAAAGCACTTTTAATTTCATCTCTGCTCCTGTTTGAGTGGAGAATTTGATTCAAAATAATGACTGTGTTTCCTGAGAACAATAAAATATGATTTGTTTTTACACTATGTTTTGAACTACAGTTGAAAACTATTTTTTCAGTTATTCAAATAAAATAGCATTTTCTTACGTTTATTTCTTCATTTTCCCTGCCTAATTCCAGTACATTTATAGATCGATGTCATATCATGAAACAAAATATTTGTACATATTATAATGCAAATTATACTGCAACTATAAACTGTGTTTTGAGATGTTCCAGTTACTTCCTCTACTCTTAGAAACCTGTAAAGTACTTATGGGAAAAAAATTACAAAAGAAAAATAGATGATGAAAAATTTCTCTCTGCTAAAGAAGTCTGTCATATGGCTGGATCACTCAAATTCAGCATCATACACGTAGATTTTATGAAATGTGAAACCTTTACAATAGAAAATTAAGTCCAGATATAATAAGAAATATTGCTACTTTAAACTGCATAGTTAGTTAATACTCTGAGTGTTTTCACAGGGAGGGAATATGGGCTGCATTAAATTCTTATCAGAGCAAGGTATGAAATAATAATTTAAAGGTAAAAAGAAAATTCAAGGTATGAAGGAAGATAAAAGATAATATTTGATATTCCTTCATAAATAAGTGCAAATTAAAACAGAGAACAAAAACTCAAGTATGGAGAAAGATTTCTACAACTTTACCAAGAATGGTAGTTTAACACTTGTTTTTTGCTACTCCCAAAATTCTTTTTATTGAAAAACAGGCCTCTAATAAATTGGCAGTAAAGGCAAAATCTGGGGACTTTGACCATATATAGCAAGACAGGTCAGAAAAGGAGTCCAACGTGGACAGGCACTAAAGGTCTACTTGTTCAGAGACAAATATTAAAAGAAAACAGCATTTAAATACAGTCTTTCAGTCCTGCTTGAAATTTGTGTGGTGGGAATGTACCCTCAGACTTCATTCTCAAAGGTCTTCAGTTCTTTTTCCTCTCTGAGGTTTCCAAATAGAAGGGATTCACGTATACCTTGCAACAGAAAAGCAAGACATTTGAATATCCTTTTCAATCATAGTCTGGACCCAGCTCTAAGACTTTCGGTACGTGAAGGGGAAAGAGTAATCTCCTAACTTTTGGAAAAGAGGAGGAAAAGCAAACCAATCACAGTCTGGGGTGTCTTCATCATCTATACAAGCACACTGACCAGTACAGGAATCATGGAATCTGTCTCATTTCTGTCACCAATCCCAACATCCAATTTCATGACCACTCTTGAATCACTACTGTCTCTCAACCGGCTTTTATACTTGACGTGAAATTCCTAGCCTGTCAAGTTATTTTCCATGTCTTCTCTTCTGTCCTATTCCATCACTGACTCCTAGGATCCTCTCACCTAGTTTGTCAGACTACAGCAATAGCACTGCTAGGTAAAATTCTCACCTTTTCATTTTAAAATATAAAGAAAATACACTTTTATTTAGAATTTTCTAAATTTTAAAAAGCTCCCCAGTGTTTACAATATTAAATATATATGGAAAGAGGTCATCTAAAAGAGGAAAAAATGTTTGACTGTATTTATTCCCCACTTTCACAGCAGATGAGCAATTTCAGTTAAAAATACACTGATCAGAAAGCAACAGGGATCTCCCAGTGCCATAGAAATCTTCTCATCACTGTATGCTACCCAAACCGAACCAAATACTGAAGTACAGGAACAGAAATTGAAAGGCACAGGCTGAGTACAGGGAATGGGCTTTCTGAAAGCATTTCAGTGATACAGATCATAAAACCCTGCCCATATTCATTCAAGTCAATGAAGAGACAAAGAGAAAATAATACAATGCAGTTCCTCTTAAAATTTGCTGGGGTGGGGTGGAGAGAAGGAGGAATAAATCAGACAGCTTCATTAAACATCTGAGGTAAATTTACGTTAAGATTCCCTCTTCTCTCCTAAAAAGAATTTTTTTTCCCCAATATCATTTTTGAAATGGTCACACTGATATCCCAAAATATTACAAATAAAGTTTTGCTTGGATTTTGAAGTGGTTTAGGGTTTTTTGCATATGAATATAAATACTACTTAAAATGGAATAAATTCTAGTACTTACAATCTGTGAAGTTAAATGACAAAACAATAACCAGTTCTCTGCTTTTGAAATCAAAAGCCTCTGAAGAATGAGCAGGATTAACAAGTTAAAAGAATTGAACCTACCCATGATTCTACATAACTTGTTATTTTATGGCTAAGAATTATAGATACTGAAACATATCTAATACCTTATTTGTGTAAAAAGTTAGTGATATTAACTGCAGCTAACCCAATTTTTTCCTACCTACAATTTTATTTTGAGTTCTAATTAAAATTTCTGAATTCCTTGGGTACCTCCGTAATTGTTGCTCATTTATTAGGTAACTAGGATCCCACTTAAAAATGCAAGTGCAAAAAGCACTTATACAAAAATGGTTTCTTAAAACCATTTGGTTTTTTTTTAATTAAGTAACTGTAACATGTATCTTTATTTTTTTAACCATGGGAATTGGGAACAATGCTGAAGTGCTAAAAAGTCAAAAATTGTATACCAGTGATTCTGTTGGTTCTAACCATCAGTTTTCCCAAGAATCAGCTTTCCACTGTGTTACCTCTTCTCTCATCCCATGTAGCAGCAATAAAATCAAACAGCAAGTATAGTAGGGAGGACTGCAGAAATGTGAGACTGTCCATGCTGGTTTTTGTGCATGCTGTTTCTACTGGCATGTTCCAGAACCCAAAGAGGAAAAGAAATCCAGTTGTCGAAGACATATTAAGGAGTAAAAAGAAAATCACAGTGCCACCTTACTCTGCTGTGAAGCATAAACATGTTATTGGAACTAAACATTTCTCTGCTGCTTGGTTCTAGAATGTGGCATTTTTATAACATTTACTGTCTGCTAATCCCTCGTGATAGAATGGGAGAAGAGGTAAAACAATCTCACAACTGCTTGAGAAGATCTTCTATACTTAAAAGCTGCATAGATACAAATATAGGTTGATATCATCCTTAGCCAATCATTAGAGTGAGTTTACATTTGTACATTACCACACAACAGAATAAAGAGAATGTACTGGCAATTTTTACTCAGCTTTATTATCTCACAGGTCACCTAAACAATTTATCCAAGTACCTATCCCTGAAGGGCTAACTACACTGATCCAGAGCAGTGGAACTGGAACACAAATTACAAGTACATATGCATTTTTTTCCCAATTAAGTTTCAAAATGTCAGCTTGTGTATTTAAGAGCAAGAATGTTGAAGGACAGAAGAATACATTTTCCAAGTGCATTTTTGAAAGTGTGAAAGGTGAAGGTATTCTTCACTTGCTATTTAATGTGCAGGAAAGTGACTGATGGCATATACAACACACAGTGGTCATAGACCTGTATGCATAACTGGTTGCATGCTCAAAAACCATGTGGAAAAGATGGGAAGGAGAGCACGAATAACATTTTGGGGTAAATGCACATATGGATGGGTTCAGTTTGAGCATGTGGAAGGAGAGTTCCAGCCATCTATCATAAGGGAAATAAATACCTTAATATAGGTGCTTTATTTTCAAAATGAAAATAGGGTTGGTATATATATTTTAATATTTCTTATTATGAAATCATAAAAATTGCATATAAGCATTTCTAAGTAGTTTGTGAAACAAAGAAATCCCTTTTTCATACTTTTAGACATAGCTTCAACATTACTGATGCTGTTACCCATGTTGTCTTATATAATGTATTTCACTCTCTATTTACATTATCAATACTGAGTTTCTAAAGTTATTAACAGAATAAATATTGAATGAATTTTAAAAGTAAGGATGACTTCTTTCAATTTACTATTGTCAAGATCTTCAAAGTCACTTGTAAAAATTTCTAGATGTCTGATTTCCATTAGAAGATAATGAAACCTGGTAGTTTCTAAATACTGCTTCTTGGTAATAATTACTCATAAATATTTTCACGTGTCCTATGAATAGCAAGTGCCAATGTGTATCTATTAATGCAGATATAGCTAATCTA